TTCCTAGCCGCCTCCCCACATTGCCGACTCATGTTCATCTTGGAGTCAATAATGACTCCCAGATCCTTTTCCACCTCCGTGCTGACAAAAGGGGAGTTCCCCAGCCTGTATGTATGGTGCCGATTGTTCCTCCCCAGATGCATCACCTTACACTTGTCTGTGTTAAACCCCATCCTATTCTCCTCCGCCCATCCTTGTAACCTATCTAGGTCCAACTGTATTTCTAAAATATATGTAAATCACCTTCCTGCTTATGCAAGTTTAATAGCTTAAAACCATGTTTCCTGCATGAAGATTTACAGCGGCAGGGAGACAAAAGGTAGCTACCATTAAAGTTGACCCACTGGGCATTACTCCGGCTATGTCTCCTTAAGACACTGCTATGTGCTGCAGTAAGCCAGCCAGCTGGGTTCCTGCTGGCAGCATGGCTGCATAACTGGAGTTCAGCAAAGCCTAACTGCCCAACTGTACGTAGCTTCTAGAATAAATTTTGCAGCCCACATACAGTTCCACGCTGTGTGAGCAGCACGGCTATCAGTACCCAAACTGACTAGTTTAAAGTGAGCTCAGGTAGATATCTACACACACTACAGTCAGTGAGCCCTACTGTCAGGACCCCTGGGGCTCCAACTTGGGTCTTCTGGACTCACGGACTGCACAGCCACTAAGCAGCCTGGACCCTCCCGTGAAGTTCCTAATGTAGGCTCATGTGACCCAGGGGAATGAATGGGAACAACAAGGGCCTGATGGGAGGCCATAAAACCCTCCCATCACCCCTGGCAACAGTGCTCCTGACATCCCTATTGTGGACCTCTGTGCCTAACTCTGGTGCTTCCACTCCCGTCTTGGACCTTCTAGCTCTAAACCACAGCCGTGCTCCTGTCTCACTCCTGCACAAGGCAGCCCCACCTGCCTTCCCTGTGCCTTGTTTCTGTCTTACCACTGCCTCCATACCCCACTTCCCAACCTTGCCTGTGCCTGGCTTGTCTCCCATCTCCTATTTCACCTTGACCTCAGACACTTTTGCCTACCTTATCCTGTGCCTTGAATTCTGCAGCTTCTGCCCTCTAAGCCCAGCCTCAACCATGGGCTTGCTTGATCCCCTGGCACAAACAACTGGACTCAGACTGAGACTCAACATTGCAACCCTCAGCTTAGCTTCTGGATCTACAGTATTACAGGGCCTTGGTTTCTGAGCCCTGATCCTTTCCCCGTACTGCATGACACCTACTATGCTGAGACCCCTTCAGAAAACACATGCAATGTTTAGATTCACCTTCTTACAAGGCTAACACTTCATTTGCCTGAATAATTTAGCAATAAATCATACAGCGAAAGATTATAATTTCTATAATGAAAGCAAACAGCTTGGGAAGGAAAAAGGGTTACTATTTAAGTAAAAGTTAAGCATTAAATCATTACACTGGAGAAACAAACAACAGTTTCCTTTACCTTCAGGAGCAAAGACTGTATAAATAACTTCTGCCTCCTTCTCATTACTTGCTACTCTCAGGGTATTTACACGGAAATGCCATGGAGGTGCTACAGGAACAGTGTAAAGTAATACCATACTAAAGCAGTGGAGGTATTCTGGAAAGGAGGAGAAAAGCCCTAATGATGGTTATTTGAAACTGAACACATTGCATATCGTGTATGAAAGGGAAACTGTAAGGCACTACAACATGTAGCTGGAGCCTACACAATTTATCTCCCATCAACTATTAAATTGCAAAAGCCTTCCCAGCTGTACCTGTCTGGCTTGTTCAGCCTTAAACTTTCCGGAGTGCCTAAACCTTGTTCTTGCTTTGGCTGCAGAGGTAAGCACCTGACAACAAATGAGCAGATACTTCCTGTACCATCACCCCGTTCAACTTTCCCATTTGATTAAGCACGAATGTATGCTCATCAAAGAATTGTTTTTTCTCTTGGTTTTGTTCAAACTCGTTTTGGAGCTCTCCGAATGCCACACACATGACCGCGTCAGACAACAGAACCTGTTACAGACCGTCCAGGAGATTTGCCGTCACTGGACTGCAGACAACAGCCTCTCAGTTCCCACCACATTGTGTTGGAAACGTTTCCTGCTTTAGGAGGGAGAATGGCAAGAAGATGGCCGTGTAATTAACTCAGGGAGACCAGTTCCCTGGCCTAATCACTTTTGTTTCATGATGAATGCGTGCTGGGGAGGGTGGAAGTTCACCTGGGTGAGCAACACCCAGATTTACCCGGGCCAGGCATGAATTCCTCCACTGCAAAGCCACAACTGCATTACTACACGCTCCCCGTTTCTGCACCATGGGCATTTTTACCCATGTAAGTGCCTCAGCACCGGGCACTTTGAAAACTACCCAGCGCTGCAATGCGTGCAGTTGTGCAAGCGGCAAAATGCACGGTGGTGTTGAGAAAATGGCGGCGGTGTACTTTTGAACTACAACACAACAGAGGTGCTTTAGGTCAAAAGTGCGCTGCTGCCATTTTCTGCACGCTGCCGCACATTTCGCCACTTATACAGCTGCGTGCAGTGCAGCACAGTTTGCCTCAGCTTGTGTGTGGAGCAGACTCAATTTATCAACTGTGCTCAGAAGCAGCTGATCTCTGGCATGTAGTGGGACAGAAAAGTATGTGTACAAATCCTGCTGTGGCTTACTGTTTTGAGATGCTGGGGTTCGTTTTTAGTTGCGCCATTTGTGAGAACACGCTGGCCTCTGGGGTGAGCTGCGGGTACAACACTGGGAGATTTTTGGCACTCTTGTAATTTAGCCTGAACTGTCATAGGGAAAAAGGGCAAGTTCCAACTAGAGCTAAAGTAAACTCTGGCCTTTACCCACACTCGCAGCTGAGCTATCCAGCCTAGATTTAAAGTACTTTCAAAACCGGGTCAGAGATTATTCTGCATCAAAGGACAGTGGACAGAATTTAGGGTAAAACCTGGCTAAGAGATCAGGTTAATTGTGCAGTGTAGACACTTTTATTAAGTGAAGAAGATTTCTACAGGCGACAATGTCACAGAATTATCACTTGAGTTTGAAGGTGAAGTAGAAATTCATCTGATAGACAAAGGGTGCTTAACCCACGGTCCACAGGCCATATCAAGCCTGCGGGGCTCCCCATGGGTCTAAAAACTTGGCAGCAGGGGAGCCACTCCCTGCTGCCAATTTTCCAGGCCTGTGGGGAGCCCCACACACCAGATAACTTGGTCCTGAACACTGTATCATGCCAGTGCACAGGGCTGGTTCCCAGCATATGGCTAGATATGGCTTGGCTCTGCACCACTTATCTGGCTCACAGAGCCAAAAAGTTGGGTGTCACTGTTATAGATGAGCTGAATCAGAGATGCATAATCTTTCCAGATCAAAAGCTCACTTCATCAGATGCCAAGCTTCTGAATGGTGGTAGGAACCTTCTGACATTAAATTGAGGCGGCCTCTGAATCCACTAGTGTTGAACTGTCACCTGCAAAAGAGCTGAATCCAAATCCAGATAAACGAAATGCCAATGAATTTGGTGGCAAACACAACGGTTGTTCAGGAAACATTCAAGTCATATATTAGCTGGAGCTAGCTCGTTATTGTGTGCTGCTACTCAGCCTAGCACAGTAGGGTCTGCTCCCATGATTCAGGCCCCAGCCCACTAGCTCAATTCAAATATATAAATAATTATTAATAATCACAGTAGAAAGCAGGGCAGGGTGGATGGCACCTTATAAAGTTAGTCTATAAGGTCCCCACTGTCCAAGGTTCTGCCTAACTTCAGACAAACACATACATAAATAGGATGTTGTAGAGGTGAATGTCTGCAGAATGATTATATAAATATCAGCATGTATAAGAGCAACTATCTATATTCATGAGCTAACTAGCATATCGACGTATCAAACAATTCCTATTCTTCTTTCTCTTATTTAAAAAGTTTAATTAATCCACTCCCGGAGTGGAAAAAATGCCACATAATAGAGAAGAACACTCAACACTAGGAGTAGTGTAAAATTAGGAGTTCATGAGCACCTCTTGCACTACAATTTTTTTTTTTTTGCTGTGCAAGTGACAATGCCAAATACCTGTAGGCAAAGAACAGGGTTCATGGCAGACATTGCATTTAAGTAGTAACCTAACCACACATTAATACTTTAATGATGCAATAAAACAAGGAGTAAGCCACAAAGTCATTACGCAAAACATGTAATAACTTTGTGGCTGCCTCCTATCATGCCTTAAATTTCACGTGGCCAGGCATCAGCTGATTGGGGATGCCAGCCTCAGGAGGACATGGGAGCCCTGGACCCCAATGCACTCTTGAGGCTGGAAGTACAAATTACCAGTGCTCAGCCTCCAGGGTGTAGCAGAGTCCTTGGCTGTGCCCTGGAGGCTGGGAGCCTCAGCTGATCACGACTCCCAGCCTCAGGAGTGCATTGGAATCAAGGACTCTGGGTATACACTCCAAGTTGGGACTAGCAGTCAGCTCGCTGGCAGTCCCAGCCTCGGGGGGTGCACCAGGCCCCTTGACTCTGATATGCTCCCAAGGCTGGGAGTGTTAATCAGCTGACTGGCTTGCCAATTGCTGGTGCAGGGGAGTCTGGGATCATGATGCTGGGCTTCCCCTACACCATCAGTATGGAGCAATTTGGATCCGATCCCCTCCCCAATCCCATAATCACACCACCTGCGTTGCAGGTGCAGCACAGCAGGAGGTGCAATGATGGAATGGAGCATCAGATACTATCACACCTTTAAATGAACTCCTGCCAGGGGCCTATTACAGATATGAGGGACAGTTTGCAAAAGAGTAAGAACAGAATGACTACCATTGTGTAGTTTATTTGCAATGGACAGTTCACCCACTTCTAGTGCTGACTGCCTTTACTAAATCAGAAAGAAGAGTTCAATAAAGTATTTTATGATCCTGTGGACAGCAAGGAGGAGGGTCTTAAAAATGGAAAGTAATTCTAGTTAATTTCTTGTTATATCTTATTTAAATAAATGATGCAGACTGAAGCCTCTGTATAAAAGGTTGGAAAGGCTCAAGTTTATTAAAACTGAAGCCACAGACAAATTACAGCATGTAAGAATACTTGTGTAAAAGGGCAAGTCCAAGGTGACATTTATAATCTGCTCTATAGAAAATCATCCACCCACACTTTGCTGGGTTATTGTAGGACCGAAAGCAGAGGCAGTTACTTATTTCTACTGAGAGTTCTTTGCTTCTCAGCATGCTCCACAATTTTCTCATCTACATAAAGTCCCTTCCGCTTTCTCACTGCATTCATGTACTTGCGGGCCTGGTTCTCAGAATCTGCCTTCTCCCCAAAGTGCAAATATTCCTCCTCCGTGGTTGGAACCCAGAACGGATCACTTGGAATGATCTGGAAAAAGAGAAAATCATAAAAAGTGCCACATTAATTGAAGAAAGTAAAGTGGAAAATCCCAGGTGATTTCTTAAGACATCAGAAGTTTGGAAACAAATAGGCTGAGCTTCCTGTGGCCTACAATAAGCTTTTCCAGCAAAATGCAACAGCCAGTCATACTCCCTTACCATGTTCAATCAGTGCAGTTTGTAACTCAGTTACATGCATTTGCTTTTGGATTTTACAAACATATTTTTCTGATTTTAGTGCATGACAGTTGTATTAAATTAAAAAAATCATTTGGCTAAGTTTTCACAAAGGCACTTCTCATTTAGAACGCTATTGGTGGTGTCCCTGCCTATGGCTTTGCTGGCATTACATTGCAATGAATGTTATGCCTTATTTCCTCAACCCCTGTGCAAAATCTTAGTAAGCCAGGAAAAATTCCTTCCAATGCCTAAGAAGGGATGAAATCCTGATTCCTAGGTTTAAAGCTTGCCAGGAGCCTAGAGTGACATGATCTGTGGATTATGTTAACCTTTTACTACAGGTTTTAGCGAGGTCATGGACAAAAGAGACGTGTATTTTACCTCAAGCCCTGCCCCAAGCCACATCATTACAGAGTGGCATGAGGGTATATGGCCTTTTTGAAGTCTTTCACATTTCATTCTGGGCTGTGAAACCATAGTACTTCTACTGCCTCCTGACAGGTAGAAGAGAGCTTTTGCCACCTATTATAAGTAGTATTCACATGAATCCTAGGCTAAACTACACACATTTTAATTAATTCAATGGTGGGTTACTATGATTAGTCAAGCTAGGGACAGACATTACACAAACTGGTTTAGAGTGATCAGAAACTGCTTTAAGCCTGTAACAGAACAGACATTCAGTGCACATAAACCAGTTTGAAAATGGCTGAAACTGGTTTGAGATAAACCTGGTTGAATGTAGTATCAGACTCAACTGATTTGGTTCAAACCAGTTTATGTAATGTCTGCCCAGACCCCTTCCTGGTTTAAGTTAAACCAGAGTCCCCCAGCATCTGGGCATGCTTTCTGGGCAGAGCTGTCCCTCCCCTCTGCTCCCCAGTCAGAGCAGGGACAGGCAGGGGTGGGGGTCTGGCCAGAGAGGTGTTTAATTTCGCCCTCTCTGCCCCACCGGCAGGGACCTGACCCCAGTCTGCCAGGCGCTTCCCCCTCGCGGCTGCAGTGGCAGTGGGCCAGCATGGCCCCTGACTCAGAGGGGGCAGAGAAGAGGGTTATTCGCTCCTTTAACCCCAGGGAACCGCAGCTAGGTCTGCCCACAGCTTGCTCCGTTTGGGGCAAGCAGCAAAATAAGCCCCCTCTGCCAGAATAACCCCCGTCCCTGCTAGCGCCTGGCTGCACCCCCACCCTGCTGCCGCAGCGGGAGGGGGCAGGGCTCTTGATGGGGGCAGCAGCCTCGTCATAGTGTTAGGGAGCATGAGGCAGACAGCTGTGGTGTCTGGTGGAGGGGGCTTATTCCTCTGCTTGTGCCTCCCTGCCCCCTCTGCCTCAGGGGCCATAGCAGCAGCAAGGGGGGAGTGCCTGGCAGACTGGGCTCGGGTCCCTGCCAGTGGGACAGGAAGGTGGGGAATTAAGCCCCTCTCTGGTGAATTTAGGCCAGCCTGGCTATACCTACCCCCAACCCCCTGGCACAGCTTCCCTGCAGCTGAGGGCACACTCAAGTGCCTCCTGGCACCTGGCCTGAGCTGCTGCAGGTATGTGCCCGCATTTCCTCAGTCCACAGGGAATGTCTGTGCTGTTACAAATCGGTTCAACCTAGGCATGTTGGACTAACCTGCAAACATTTCATCAGTTTGGGGTCCAGCTTTTTGAATGCCTGTCCCTAGCTCAAGGGTAAACATGGCATCTGTTATTGAGATTTGTGGTGCTTCTGACATACACTACCAGGGGCTGAAACTGGCCTAACATGTTGCTTTATAAAGCCCCAGACAGATATCCACAATCTAAGGATATTAATACAAAATACAGTTAAAGCAATGTTATTAATTTGAAAGATAAATATCCTGACAAATTAGTACTCTTGGAAGAGAATGCAAGGGATGGAATGTGATCCCTCAAAGTAGAAAAAATGTCTGGCTCCAATAAACTACTTTTCTTAAACTACTAAAACATATACAGGAGGAAATCGAGAAAGCTTGCCCACACACACTGAAGTAATCTCGATAGTAAATGTCATCCTAGCTGGGGATGAGATGTAGCATAACTAATGCTACCTGTAAAACATACCTGTTTCCGAGTCTATACGAATGCCTGAAAGCATACTAGAATAAAGCCTACCATTACCTGCATCATTTCTGTTTACAGTGCAAATTTTAACTGTGAAGTGTGACCTACAATGGTAGCTAAATATGGACATAAGATCTTGCAATAAGTAACATAATATTTTCAACAGGATAGTGTTAAATTATTTTGATAATTCCTGAATGAACAGTTCAATCAATAAGAAAGAGAATATGAGAGGGGGAGAAAGGAGAGAAAATGTGTGCATGCATACATTTGAAATTCTTAAAAAGCAGATGCTTAGTGTCATTCAAGGTCAATTATACAAAAGTACCACTCAGAAAAGTGAAAAACAATTTTGAATAAAGTGCTATTAGTGACTGAGACTATGAAACTGTATATTGAATTAATATGGAATAATGAATAACTCCAACAACAGTTAGTGACTTTCATACCACATTAAGAAGTAATAAATGTGTATGCAAATGTTTTAAGAAATAAATTTAAGAATTCATCTGAGAGTTAGACTTGCATGGTAAACTCTCTCATAGGTACTGGGAATTCATCTTAAATTATTAAGAGTGTTCTGGGCTCACATAAAATGTGTGTGTAATCAAATCTGGTAAATGGTCCTTGGTGAATTGATGTTTGGGTAATTAACCAAAATTGTACAGGGCTACAGCCCTGAGATACAACTTTTCTGTTCCATTAGTAGACCATTATCTATGAAGGAGTCTAGAAGTCACTAGAATGAATAAAGCATTAAGAAAATCAGAGTTAAAACTAACAAGGTCACCTTCTAAGAATGTTGAATGTGAATAATCTTAAATGATAATTTTAGGCTTTTATGTCAATTCAGGCTATGTTGATAATTTTCAAAAACAGGTTTAGTTTTAAATAATCAGAGATATTTTAATTGCTCTTATCAATTCACTTAGTAAAAGGAAAAGTAAGTTTTTTAACATGAAAAACCCTGACAATTCATGGAAAGAGCAATATCACCAAAATACCAATTGTTCAATATTATTGCTTTCACAGTAATCAAAGACAGCTTATCATTGTTTTAAATTAGTTTTCCAGGCCTGATAAGGGTAAAGCTATCACAACACCCAAAGACAAGGAGAGAGCAGAACATTCCCACCAGAGTACAACAAGAATTGTAGCAGTTTTACTCCCAAAATGGTGTTCTAAAAGAATGTGTTGGATGCACACACACGTGTGTTGGAGGGAGAAGTTTTACTATATTTATTACACCTGGGAATGCATTTAATTGCTATATATTTTAAGACAAGGAGAGCAACTGAAAACTAAACTGAACACAAACCAAACTAGAATTAAAGATACAACTTAAAATTGGCAAATGCTAAAAAAAAAAAAAGTAACTGCAAATGATCACAGCTTGTAAAGCGTTAATATCTTATGTTTGACAGCGCTCATTTTTGCAGATATATCTTTTTTAATATTAAAGCTTTATGTTTGTCAAATTTAAGAAACAACACTAGGGGTAGGAGTTTGGAAGGAGGAATTTGGAAATAAACTCAAGGTAGAGATGGCTATTCTTGACAAGGTAATTTAGTGCAACATGGGCTCTCCCTTTCAAAGCAAAGTGCTGACTACTTTTACCCTGAACAAGCTTTACATGCCTGATGTTAAGCAAGTGTGGAGTCCTAGAGAAGTAAATGGGACTATTTATATGCTTAAAGCTAAACTTAAAAGGCCCATAAAGGTTGGGAACTCAATATGCTTAAGGTAGTCTGATGTATTGTATGAAAGTTACCTTTCCAAATAACATTAGTGGGTTTTTTGGTAAATATAAAATTTGGAATTAACTGACCACATAAATATCTGCCTCTGGCAATAGCAGAGGCAATCTGCATACTATTAGGCACTACATTTTCTATAAGACAGCTAACTTTAGGATGTTGCAAAGGCACTTACACAACAACAGACTGAAGTAATGAAGGGAAGAGACACTGGGGGTTTTAATACTTATTTGTACCTTGCTATCAAACGTTTGATCTGGCTGTAGTGATGCACGCACTGGTTATCTTCATGTAGAACAATGACTTTTTTTGCCTCTGAGGATGGAGTCAGTTCAGAAGTTGCAAAACAAAAGTTCAGATTTGCAAAGAGGATGACAGGCCACCTCCCCAGTGGACTGGACTAGCACAATCATCCTGTGCTTTGGTCCTTTCACTAGGTTCCCACCCATCCTTTGCCAAACTTAAAGCCTTGATCTTGATTTTCAAGGTCATGAAAGATTAGACCCTAGTTCCACTGATGACTGTTTTTTCCACTAATGACTTACTTGGAGTTGGACTTCGTAATTTATATTGTCCAAGGAGAAGCTTTACCGGATGCCTTTACTGTGGACAAATTGGAGAGTCCAGTGGATGGCAACAAAAATGGTGAGGGGGCTGGGGGACATGACTTATGAGGATGGGGTGAGGGAACTGGGCTTATTCAGTCTAGAGAAGAGGAGACAGAGGGGATTCAAGCTGCACCAAGGGAAGTTTCTCTCACTAGGAAGGAAGTAAAATACCGGAACAGGTTACCCGGAGACATTCCACCTTTGGAGGTTTTTAAGACCTGGCTAGACAAAGCTTTGGCTGGGATGATCTAGTTGGGGATGGTCCTGCTCTCAGCAGAGGGGATGGACTAGAGACCTCCTGAGGTCCCTTCCAACCCTCATTTTCTATGATTCGATCTTCAGGGCTGTTTCTGCCAACACTATGAGGAGAGCTGTTGGTT